CCTAAATCATTTATGAATTTTAAAGAGATACTGAAACTAAGAAGTTTGAGAATTGTTTTTGAGACATTACAAAACTTAGGGCATTTTTGTGAAATCAATACTGTTATTAATTTACCAGATGCATTTTTACAGTTTTTACAGAATTCTTTAAATCTTCTCATACTCAAGTCTGTATAAGAGAGGGGAAAAAAACTTACGCTTAAAGTGAATCTTCAGTAATATCCTGAATGCCATTATATTTTTCAACTTTTAATGTTTTTACTTGGCCATTATCAGAATAATTTTGGGCCCTGGATATACAGTGCAGTTGTGATTTTTTTTTCCAATTTTTTCCAATTCCAATTGGATAAATATTATATTCTTAAAACGGTGAATGAAAGGCTAACAAAACATTTTGCTGACTTTCTCAAATGTTAAATATCAGGCGTTTGTCAGAGAGCTCACTAAAAATGTATGTAGTGGAGAAAGATCTGCCTGCAAGCTCCTGGGCACACAGTGACTCTGCACTTTCTGGTCCAGCTTCCTGTGGCTGCCTGGGGTAGTCCACATCCCCTGGGCATTCTCCCAAGGGTGGGGCGGCAGCCATCACAATCAAACACCACTTTCCTAAGCAGTTTGAAGGAGCAGCAGCAAAGCTCAGGCAGAATGAAGTGAGCCTGACCGTCCTCAGATCCGTATCCAGAAGATGTGGCCTGGCTCAGCTCCAGTGTAGACAATGGAAGGGTGTTCAGAAAGTTCATCTTCCCCTCCATATTTGGCAAATCAAGCCACACTGCCTCAGTGTTATCAGATGAGATAATGAGATGGAACAGAAGAACCCTGGCCTGATTCCTCTCTCTATCACCAGTGTTTCTGAAGAGTCTTGTTCTATCAAAATCAACAAGACTATCATTCCATATGTCCCTGTGGAACACCGTGGTTTACAAAATATGCTCGCTTTCATGATCCCTCAAAAGCATGGTGAAGTACATCAGGTAGGTACTGTTGTCCTTATTTTAAAGATCATAAAACTGAGAATCCAAAGTGTCAAGCAGTTGACTGGAGGTCACAGGGATCATGACCCTCACCAGGCCTGAAGGTCACCTTGTGTTTTCAGTCCTATATTAGGCCTCTGACTTTGCAGACGGCACACACAGAACACTTCCTCATTATACATGATTACTATTTAACCGCAGGGATGTTTTGCACAATTCTCTTTTGAAGGAAGGTAGAGAGACAAAAAGAAGAAATTGGAGGTTGAAAGGAAGAGAAAACATTTTAGGGGAAATGCTCATTTACTTTTGTGGAATTCATGACTAAATCAATTCTTTACTAATTACATATAGAAGATCTTTGGACATCATTGTCAACTCCCAGAGATTAAAAAAAATACTGGATATGCACCAAAGTTATCACTGGAAATAGCATAAAAACACCTGTTGACACCAGTTTTCTTTATAAGTGGCAGTGGCCAAAATGGATCAGGGTACCACAGAGATCCCATGTTTGGGAGAAGGGTCCTTCACCATTCATCAGAGTGTTCTCTGGAAGTCTGGGAACATGCAGAGGCAGCAGCCTGAGGTCCAAATCTTGCACTGAACCCAGAATGGCCTTCGGTAGGATGTGCTAGAGTCTCTTTAGCCATTAATTACTTTTACAGCTGCTGCTCTAAAAACGGAAGGGATAAAAATTGCACTGTGTGTTCCATTGAAAGTGCAAAAAGGAATAGCAGAAAGAAATCCATGGACTCTGCCTTGCAAACGAATCAAACTTTTTCTTTAATGTGTTTCTGCTTACCTGAAAATCACTTATAAGAGAGGAGTAACAAATAACAAAGTAAGAACATTTTTTAAAAAGTTCAACACTGTGAATGAGGTCATTTAAGTAAAGTACTGATGTCCCAGTGAGTGTGAAGTTAATAAGCCTGCCACCCCTGCATGCTGCCTAGACATGGGTATCTGGGATGTTCTTTTTACCCAGGCATCTGACCATGCTTCTGTCTTGGTGGAAGAGTGCTTATAACAGATATTAAAATAACTTTATTTACAAAATTAAAATATATTCATCTTCACTTTCTTTTGTGGATTGAGATTTGTATTTGCTGCATATACAGACTTGTACATCTACTCTGAACACCATTAGAGCTCTGCACAGTGATCATCCTTAGTTATTTCTACCTTAGTTCCCATTCTCTATCACTTAGTTTCTGTTTCTTCACTTACCAGCACCTGCTTTTTATAGCTGCAATTTCAAGGCAGATCTCTCATTCTTCCCTCTGAGAGACATTTATTTGTATAACCACTGCAGCTTCCAATTACTCCACTGAGTAAGTGCCACTTAAGATTCTCATCAGCCTGTTGTTGCCATTATTCCAATGCAGTAGCAACCACGAATGCAGATTTGAAAAATATATTTGAAACTAGAAAAAACATAGTGGAAAAAAATTAAATGTGATACCTACCCTTTAAGCAATTCCCTTGTGTGGGTTTTTCAAATGAAAAGTTGATTAATGATAATATGAAAAGCATTCACCTGAAGCAAGCATATCAATTAGCATTTAAAAAAAAATTCTGTCTTTAAATTAATGACCTGTAGTTACTCTTTTTTCTGATTGACATAACCCCTTTTTAAAATTTTTTCTCTCTTTAATTGAGCATAAAACAATAATTTTTTCACAGTCTTTTTATGGGGTGTGCCATAATACATTGACATTCTGTGCAGTAGTTTATATTTTTAAACAATTATATGTTTATATCCTGGCTAGAAAATTAAATTATTAAATAGTATTCAAAATTTTCTAAATCATACCAAATTCTCCTTTACAGGAAATGTGTCATATCCATGTTTTAGTGCATTAATGTGTGGTAACAGTCTTTGGATCACATACCACATAAATAATACCATGGTAGCATTTGTATTTGACAAGTAAGTTATAGCTATAAATAAGCCATTATATGAAGGAGGATATCAATCTTTTCTTTACTTCTTTTCCCAATTAGCAGATTTTAAGAAATGAATTTAGAATTTATTATTATACCTTTATCAGTAGTGATGAAGGATATGGGTTCTGGAGGAGAGAATCAGGGGATTAAATATTGGCCTTGCCACTTTTGGCTTGTAGAGAGGAAAACCTTTTCCTATACCTTCCTATCTTCTGTAGTTGGGGCCTGTGAATTAAAACAGAAGACAGATTAACAGAAGAAATGCATGCAAAATTTACTTGATGTTAATATTTGTACATGTACATGGGCTTTAAAGAAATAGAAAGAAAAAATCCATAGAAATGATTAGACTTGGACTTATATACCATTTTAACAAAGAGTGATAAATTATGGAGAATTGACTAGACAAAAGAAGGAGGCTTGGCCTTCTAGGAGTGGCAAATTGTGGGAAGGTAAATACATGGGGGAAACTAAATGTTAGATAAGTGTTGTGTAGTAAGGTTTGTCTGTACAGACTCATTTAGGTGCTGTCTCCATCTCCAGTGGTACAGTTTGTTCTTTTCCTGACATGGAAGATGGGGAAATACTTTCACAAGAAAGCTTTATGCCTTATGTTTACACAGATAGGGGAAGGGTAAAGAGCTCTTCTTGTGTCTGCTTTTTCTCAGTTGCCTTCGACTTAAAATAATCATTATGCCAAAGTGGCCTATTTTGGTGTGACATATTCTAATCCCCTTCAGATGTTATGACTGTTAACAAGTTTCTATACTCCTTCAAGCCTCAGTCTCCTTCTGGGCAAATGAAGACAATAATTGTGTGTGTGTGTGTGGGGGGAGGAATCATGCAAGTGTCGTGGCAAGGGTCTGAAGCTTCAGCCTGTTCCCATACAGATATTGATTTAGAAAATAATTAGAAATATAAGCACATAGTTATTCCTTTATATAATCATATATAATTTTATAGTTACTTATAATCATGAAGATATATACTCAATATAACCTTTAATTTTACTAATGATTATCAGGTTATGAAGCATGGAACTGAGGAGACATTGTGAACAAAGTGATCCTAAGGCAAGATGCTCTAAGCCTTCTGTCACACCTGCATAAGGGCTGCTGGAGGGCACCTCAGCTGTGCAGCAGTGCCAGCACTGGGAAAGTGCCTGCTGTTCAGCCAGCTAGGGAAGGAGACGTCCAAAATGGCCAAGACGTCTCCCTTCTCGGGGGAGTTAGGAGAAAACTCTGCTCCTCCAAGCTCTTGTGGTAAGGCCTGACGGCTGTCAGGGAGGCCTGCAGGCATCCGGGGGCTTAACTGTCTCTCTGTGATGCTGTGCTTCAGTGGTCATGTTCCATGTCCATTCTCACACTCTGCTTCTGCACCTGGTTTCTCTTTTTCTCAGAAGATAAGAATTAATAGTAGTAACATAAATTTAATGTCCTCGATATTTCCGACAAATATGCGAAAAGTGCTGATGTATTAGATTTCCTCCTCTCCTTCAGTTACTTGAAAGTTTTGGGCCCCCTATCTCCAAGACATGTGATTTACCTGACCCTATCGCTGACCACCATTACCTCACCCTACTTCCCTGCCTCCTGCTTTGTACTCAAGAAAAGTCAGAGCGTCCAGGCACTCAGGGCCACTGCCAGACTCTGTGCTTTGGTTGGCAGTGGACCCCTGGGCCCAAACTCTGTTTTCTCTTTCTCAGTGTCTTGTGTCTTTTATTTCCACAGTTTCTCATCTCCACACCAGCAGAGAGGGGCTCACAGGACCCTGTAGGGCTGGACCCTATAAATAATGGTACCTATTTTGTAGGGTTGTCATGGGCATTCAATAAATAATACATGTGAACAACTCAGCACAGGAGTACGTACATAATAAGTGTTTAATAAACTAGAGCTATCATTCTTATTTTTATCTCCAGAATCCCTTTCTTGCTTTCACTTACAGAAAGTACATGCATACCAACTGTGCCTATTAATTAGCATATATGTATGTATAAATGCGTATGTAAGAAATGGAGGAATGAGAAAAACACAGTATCAGGATCATTTAGTCTTAAGTGTAAAGTGTTAAGGAGGATTTAAACAGCAATGTTTAGGCTAAAGATAATAAAAGAGAGGAGGTTTAAATTGAGGAAAGAAAATTTAGGTTCAGAGTAAATAATTTATTAAATACAACTCCTTATTATGGGTGTATTTTAGTTATGGGTGTGTGTATGTAATTAGTTCTCATCATCATCTACTCTTAAAACCAGACTTGTCACTTTTACCCTCCACTCCTGTCAGCCACTAGATCACACTGATGTTAACTGGCTTATGCCCATCTCTTCATTTTAGTTCCCAATGTTACCTCCTGGGCTGAATTCCCATCTTGTTAAATCTAGATTCATGTAATATCCTCCTAGACAGTCTCTTAATCTTTTAATACCTTACTTATTCTATTCAATCCTGTGTTCTGCCAACCAATTACTATTCCTTGAAAACTACTTTGTTTAATCTCTCTGATTTCCAACTGCCTACACAGTAAGATTCTAATTCTTTGGCTTAGCTTTCAAGACTCTATTCAATCCAACTTTAATCTACCTTTTTTGTTCCATTCCTCTCCCCTCCCCATCCACTCTAGTTAGAGGGAAGTTGCCTAGCATGGGGATAAGGATGCAGACTCCAGAGCAGGCTGCCTGCATGAACTCCAGGTCCCCACCAGCCAGTTTTAAACTAAAAGTTCAGATATTCTGAACTGTGGAACGAACATCACATGGACCTGCTGAGGTGGAAATGTGGACTTTAGGAGGTGAGACCTACATCACTCATAGGTAAGTGTCCTTCCTAAATCTACAGAGTGGACAACAAACCTAATTCACTTGTTTAAAATAATCATTGGGAAGGAAATTGCAAATGCTCTGACTCTGGAGAGATAGAGGATGACTGGCAGGCAAAGGAGAAATCTCAGGCTTCAGTAATGAGACTTTTTCATGAGTCCCTTAGTCAAACTCATGAGACCTGGAGAGTCTATGGGGAAGGGGTACACGCATAGAAAAAGCCAGAGACGATGAGGCTGGGAAAATAAGCTTCTCTTACCATTGTTCTCTATTCTCCCTACTTCCACACTCTTCCAGTGGGACAAAGTGCCCCACATTATAAATCACTGTGTCCCAAGGAGTCTGGAGTTTAGGTGCCTGAACATGGCAGAGGGCCTTTCTAGACTGGTGAGTATCAGAGTTGGATGGATGCTAGTGTGACAGGTGTGACAAGTCATCCAGGTTGGATTTGGGCATCAGCCAGAGGATGCTGAGGGAAACAGAGTCTGGATAGGTTCCCACACCTGTGGGAGAACAGCTCCCCATTACTTGCTTGAAGCCCAAGATGTCATTAATTCCTGACTTTCCTTGGCTCCAAAGCAATTTGCTCATGCATTGGCTTTGGGAAGGGTGTTTGGACTGACTATCCTCTACCCAGAATCTTCTATATTTCCTGGATAATACTTATCAATATGTTTTTATGTCACCAAATGTTCTATGAAATAATAATAATACATTTTTGAGTCCCTGCTGTATTCTAGAGCCTTTAAAATATTTATATTCCCCATCAGCCCTGCTTCATTAATGCAGAAACTAAGGCTTATGTAGGTTAAGTGGTAGAGCCAGGACCCTAACCCAAGTCTGTCTGTGTCCAGAACACAAATTATTGTAGCTTTCTTTATAAAAATCTGTAAATTTCTTACCTCTCTCTCTTTTAATCCACAGGTTTGACCTTTCTCTCATCCCCAGCAAAGTTCTGAATGTGGGTTCTGACTCTGAGCTGAAGGCATGCTTCATGAAGATTCCTGTTGCCCTTTCACTGCACAGTTGGGCTTAGAGGCAAACTTGGATGATAAAAATATAGTTACCATGCTATCCCTTATAAAGATTTGGGAGAAAGTACAGAAAGAAAGGCAAAGCTAATTACTCAGTATGCATCTGTTAGTATTAATGCAATAAAAGAAAGAGTCGGCCTCATAATATAGCAAAGGTTACATTTAGAATATAAATAAAAGATATTAGAAAGCACCTCATGAGAAATTAATGCTGTACTTGGTTTAAAGACCAAGCAGTCAATGCGCCAAGAAATGTTTATGGGAAATTATTATGTGGCAGACATGGTTAGGTGGCTGCAACATGTTTGCCTTGGTTGATGAGTTTAATCTTTCCTACTGAGTGTCTTGTAAACATGGCAAACATGGCAGAATTCCTATATCCAGGTTACCTATTATAAAATCTTAAATTAATTATGTTAAAAGTCATGCTAGCAGACCAATGAATTTTTTAAAGATAATGCTTTATTGGATTCATTCCTTTTTTTCCAACCATTTTGTCTGGAAAGATGGGATTTAAAAATATATATATATAATGATATTTTTATATCTTATAATTTGGCTAATAATTATAGTTCAGAACTTCACTCTTTTTGAGTGCTGGATCAAATTAATAGTGGCTTTTCTACAGGTCTTGTTCCTCCAAATCTACCTAACTAAAGCTCTGTTTAAAAAACAACCCAAAAATCAATACTAGCTCTGTTACAGAAGTTTTATCAGACTGGCAGTCCAAGCTGTTAAAATTTCTTGTAACAGGTATCAGTTTGAAAAGATTCTCAATTGGGTGTAGTGACTTATGGTTGTAACTCCAGTGCTTTGGAAGGCCAAGGCAGGAGACTTGCTTGAGGCCAGGCATTTAAGACCAGCCTGGGCAGCATGAGAAGACCCTGTCTCTGCAGAAAAAACAATATATATATATATCATATATAAACATATATAGATAGATAGATATGGTTTTTTATTATATATATAATTTATTATGTATGTACAATATATATTATATATATATATATACACGCATATATATATAAAATAAATTAACCAGTTGTGCTAATGTGTGCCTATAATCCTAGCTACTCAGGAGACTGAGGTAGGAAGATTGCTTGAGCCCAGGAGTTTGAGGCTGTAGTGAACTGTGATTGCACCACTGCCCTGCAGCCTAGGTGACAGAGTGAGGCCCTGTCTCTAATACATAAATAAATACAAAGATTCTTAATGTCCTTTATCTATTAGGAAATATTTCATTATTGAAGAAAAGTTTCACTTTTTAAGCTTGACTTTGACCACCACTCTGTTCTCATGACTTACATCCCTTTGATACTTAAATCATTCACCTAGCTAATTGGGCCTGTGCCAGTGTCCCATGAGCCCGGCTCTGACAGGTGTTCTACTTGTCAGGCAGGGCTTCCTTGGCTTCCCTTTTATTGTTTCTTCTTCCTCCTTCCCTGGGAGAGTTACGACTCTATGTGAAGTTCTCAGTTATAGAACAGAGCTATACATAAAATGTGCACATATACAAATGGTAAGGAGTATGCCCACACTAAAGAATTATTTCTCTTTGAAACTCAATGACCACTGGCCTCTTGTTTGAAAAACACCAGGACTCTTACCCTGAAGACCAGGCAGCCATCCAGCTGTGCCCAGTTGCTATTTTTTGGTATCCATTCTAAGAAGTTATCATTTTCATGAGAATGAGGTGCTTGTTCTACCACATAAATTTTAACTTTGGAAAGCAACTCTTTGGCGCTTTAATTTCTCATAGGGCAATATTTTTCAGGCCCGGCTGGGCTTCTGTGTTTGGACATCTGAGTTCTCACTTTTGGAGCTTGTGCTTCCTCAGTACTCTATCCTATCACAGCTTTGCCAGGACTTGGTAGCTAAAGTATAAGCTGAAATAATTATGTAGTTAATTCATGCCAAAACCTGTCTTACTCCATTTAGCAAGTTTCATTTTGATGTATCCGTACAATCACTTCAAATCACTACTTCACTTTGGCAATGCTAAATTGTTTATACAGTGTTACTATTCTTGTTTATACAATGCTACTGTTCCTGCAGACCGGCTAAATTGTTTATATAATACTACTGTTCTTGCTCATCCTGCAGAACAGTTAGTGATGTGTATCTACAACAATATGGCTTATTGTTGTTACATCATTTTACCTCATCTAATAAGAGTTCCTAATACATTGGGTATTGCACAAAAGGCACTCAAATATCTTTTTGCAAGTACGGTTAATGAGGCAAGCTTCTGTCAATAGGTTATGCTAATATTCAATTTGTAGCATATTTAGATAACATCTTGAATATGCAGTTATTTCTATTTGACTCATGGCCTAGTTTGCTGATGAGAACTCAAGCTTTAAGAATCAGAGATTGGTTCATTCTTATTAAGTAAAGCAACGCATTATTGATTTTAGAGTTAATCCAAACTGGCACTATTATTATACTTTAAGTTCTGGAGTACATGTGCAGAGTGTGTAGGTTTGTTACGTAGGTATACATGTGCCATGATGGTTTGCTGCATCCATCACCCTGTAATCTACATTAGGTATTTCTCCTAATGCTATCCCTCCCCTATCCCCTCACCTCCCAACAGTCCTCAGTGTGTGATGTTCCCCTCCCTATGTGCATGTGTTCTCTTTCTTCAAAACTCACTTATGAGTGAGAATATGTGGTGTTTGGTTTTCTGTTCTTGTGCAAACTGCCATTTTTATGACTGCTATGGACAAAATGTTTGAATCTCCCCAAAATTCATATGTTGAAGCCTTAATCCCCAGTGTGGTTGTTTGGAGATGGGGCCTCTAAGGGAGAAATTAAGGTTAAGTGTGGTCATAATTGTGAGAAGCTCTCATCCAACAGGATTAGTGTCCTTATAAGAGGAGACATCAGAGACCACATATACTTGTACATTCTCCATGTTTCGCCCCCAAACCAACCCTGCTCGCAATTTGATCTTGGACTTCCAGCCTCTGAAAGTCCAGCAAAGACAAGTTAGCATTTATAGCCATGTAGCAAGTTGCAGGGGTCAGTGGATGGAAAATTACTGAGAGGAAACATGAGGAGTAAGAAGGGATTCTGGTTAAATAGGCTTAACAGGATTCTTACTGAAGTCAGGCCAGAGTAATCAGATATAACCTGGGAGATGGTGGGACATAAGGAATTTGATAAAATATTAAAGATGACCAGATATGAAGGGTGAAAGATTCTGGTGAAACAAATTTGACAGAATTTTTGCTAAAATTGGACAATGCAAAGACAGACATGGAAACCCATAGTTCAGGACCTGGTTGGATTGTCTCTCACAGGGTTGAAAAAATAATCCTCTGTTTTCCTCAAGAAGTTTTAGAATTTTATCTTTTATATTTAGGACTATGATCTGACTTTAATTTTTATAAATTGTATAGAGTTTGAGGTACAAATTTTTTCCTATAGTCATTTTTTACAGAACCTTTTGCCAAAACTTTTCTTTCCCATATTAACTTATGTTGATGACTCAAGTTAAAAAATGATCAAGTGACTGGGTAAATGTGGGTTGGTTTCTGGACTTACTACTTGCTTTTGTTAAACTATTTATCTGTCTTGACATCATATCATGCCATCTTGATTATACTAAGTTTTGAAATCAAGTGATATAAGTACTACAAAGTATTTTTCTATTTCAAGATAATTTTGGCTCTTATGGGTAGTTGGTCTTTTCTTTCTTTCTTTGAGACAGAGTCTCACTCTGTTGCCCAGGCTGGAATGCAGTGGCACAAGCTTGGCTCACTGCGACCTCCACCTCCCAGGTTCAAGCGATCCTCTTGCCTCAGCCTCCTGAGTAGCTGGGATTACCAGCACATGCTAAAATGCTGGGCTAATTTTTTTTTTTTGTACTTTTTATAGAGACAGGATTTCACCATGTTGGCCAGGATAGTCTCAAACTCCTGACCTCAAGTGACTCATCCACTTCAGCCTCCCAAAGTGCTGAGATTACAGGCATGAGCCACCACTCCTGACCTTGGTCTTTTCATATACATGTTAAAATTATCTTGTCAATTTCTACAGAAATTAAAAAAAAACTAAGATTTTGTTTGGGAATATTTTGACTCTACAGATCAGCTTACAAAAAAAATTACATCTTAAAAATATTGAGTCTTCAAATCCATGAACATGCTATATATTTCTGTTTATTTAAATGTTCTTTAATTTCTTCCAGCAGTGTTTTTTACTCTCAGCATACAGATCTTAGCTATATTTTACTTAAAATATCCTAAGTAAATTGTGTCAATTGATACTATTTTAAATTGTTTTGGATTTTTTATTTAATTTTCCCATTCTTTTTGATAGTACATAGAAATACGATAAATATTTTAATATTAACCTTATATCCGTGGCATTGTTAAAATCATATATGAGCTCCAGTAGTATATTTTTTAGATGTTTATAGTTTTTAATATACACAACCATGTTATTTTTGAATAAAGATAGTATACTTTTTTCTTTCCAACATTTATGCTATTTATTTTATTTTCTGGTTTTATAGCACTGACTAAAACTTTTAGTAGAATGTTAAATAGAATCACACACACACACACAAAAAAAAACAAACAAAAAAAAACAAAAAACCATTTTTGCCTGTGTAATCCTTGGGTAAAGTCTGGAGGAAGAGATGGTCAGATATCCACTGGTTGAAAGGGTGTGGCTAACAGTTTGGCTGAATGATCATCAATTAAAAGGAACATGATTGGTAACTTGGCGATAATGAGGTCTGGAAAGATGTATGTGAATCTCGGCATACCTTGAGCTAGATCATTAAGAAATGTGTGTCCGATATCAAGGCCCACCAAAGAGCCACTTCAGAAGAATAAGTAGGTATAATGGTCCATTCTATGGACATGAGTGAACTTGTTTCTCAGCTACATCTACCTTTGTCCAATTGGCTCATAAACAAAGTGATCATCGGCAGCTGGGAAGGAAGTTACGCATGGGCTAAGCAATGTTCACTTCCACGCATCTATACTGATCTGACAACTGCCACTGCTGAGTGCCCAACCTGCTATCTGAGATGAATACTGAGCCCCCAGGA